TCCTTCCCATTGACTAATATGTTTCAAGATGGTTAAAACCACCAAGCAGATGGGATATACAACCAACAAGATGATAGTGTACTTAAATGTACTATAGATGTACTTATTTTACCAAAAATCAAGTAGGATGGAAAAATGATGATACCGGGAGTGAGGTTAACCCCATGTTCAGATGTTCACACACATGTGTAGTTGCTTTGCCCCGGTCATACCCATCTTGATCGGGATCGGTCTAAGAGGTTAGTTGTTTCTTGGTGATTGAAACCTGACCCAACATCAACTGCTTTGGCGGTTTGACGTGGCACACGGTGGAGGCTGTGAAGAAAGAAGACACTGATCCCTTTGAAGTGGTCGCGCCCTTGTGACCGTGTCAACCATGCCATGGAGCGACTCCAACTTTGCCAACTGACCTCGAGATTTGAAGTGTTTCAGATGATATCTGATACCAGCATTTATGCCTTCCAAAAATACATGCAGAGATGGAATCAGAGAGGTTAGAGGTTAGACACCCCAAGATCCAACGGTGAACGTTGGATTTTTCCGTGTTCTCCCAAGGTCTACGTTTCTGCTGACACCAGTCGTCGCGAGTCGGGCGGACCCAAATTTGCCACTTTTTTAGGGAAAAACATTGGGTTTACCACAGTAATGTGCCCATGTGGTGATCATATACTTTCACATGACTGGAAGGAATAAGATGAATTAAGATTATGTATAAAAACCACTGCCCCAACAAAGAATTGATGGCATTTCCGACCGTAGAAAGCCATGGGTGAAGTGACCAACTGATGTGCTGAGTCGATGATCTCAACGGCTTTGCTGGGGAAATCCACAACTGGAGAATCAAAAAATTGGACAAACATGGAATATTTTAGTTGGTTTATAACATTTTGTAACCCCATTTAGCATAATATATGTTTAGTCATATAGTCATATAGTCATATAGTCATATAGCAACAAATATTCCCCAACTTTCAGCATTCACGCCTCACCAGAGAGCCAAGGTTCAATCGTTTTGTGAAGTCGATGCCTTGGTTGGCCGTGCCGTTTCGAGATAATTCCACGGTCTTCCAGCGCCACTCGGCCAGAGCTTCCAAGGTAAGTTTCCTATGGTGCCCCAGTGATGTTATGGTGATCTCCACCATTTATTTTCGATATCTCAGAAAATCTCCACCAGGATATTTTCTGGTTGGTGGTGACTGGAACATTTGGATTATTTTATAAAAATTCAGTTGGGAATGTCATGATCCCAACTGACTTTCGCATATTTTTCAGAGGGGTAGGTCAACTAGGGATCTCGGTTCAAGCTCCCCTCGAACCGTCAACCTAGTGGGTATCGCGGTGTTTTACCCACGGGTCTTCTTTTTGACCTTGGCCATTTACCTCGTTGATCTTTGCTGCCCTGATTTTGCATTCACTGTAGTTTGCTCTACTGACTGCGTTTCAGGTGCCGTGTGCCATCAATCTTTCAGGAACCTGCATTACAGTTTGGACTTCAACTGCACTTGCTCTTCGCTGAATTTTTGGTCTGGAGTCCCAGCTCCTTAAACCTGGGTTTTCGGTGCACATTGCAAACATCAATTTTCTGGTTCTGCGCTGGCCTTACAGCGGGTGATTACAACATTTTTCTTAGGGTAATCCTGGAAACTTTTTTGTGCCTTCACCTCTGTGAACTGGTTCTGCGCTGGCCGTACAGCGGTTTTTGATTTCACTTTTCATTGGGGGTGAGCTCCCCGTACAATCTGCCTGGCTCTGTTTGTCCGTGAATGATTTTCGTGCTACACTTCATTGCTGCAATTCAGATCGTTTTCACCTTGCTGACCAACCACGTGCAAAGACATCCGATAATTTTGTGTGAAGCTGACAGCGACCACGGCAACGCCTTCTCAGCGGCGTTCCCATCGACGTGGACGAGCCAACGCAAGGCTCCTCTGGCACTTACACAAAAAGAGGATTCAGGTCCTTCCCAAGTGGAAACTGCTACAGTTGGTGAGCAAGCTCCAAGGTCACCACTCCAAGGATACAGCCTTCATCCATCGCATCCACAGAGAGATCATGACAGAAGCAGACGGTCCCTGGCGATGCCAAACATGCAAGAAGATTTGCAGTGCAACGCATCAATTCTGTGGCGTGTGTGGGATTTCATGGCATCTTTGTGCCGACCCATCCTACCAGCCACCGCAAAGGCAGACCAGAGCGCAACGCTCAGTCCAATGGAGCTATGCAAATCAATGGACCGACCAAGATTGGGAGGATCCTCAATGGGATCCACAGCAATCCGATCACTCTCAATGGACAGCGTCCCCAAGAAGGCGTACCTCGTCGAGAAGACGGCCATCAAAGAAAGCGACCAAAAAAGCTGCAGAGACACCCAAAGGAGCAAAGGGCAAAGGCAAGAATGCAAGCGTAGACCAAGACAGAATTGGTCCGCCCCCATTGCCTACCAACCCGGTGGATCCGCCATGGCTGCAATCGATGAGTTCCATTGCCGCGACTATGCCACCTCCGATACAGCAAAATGCGGAGGACAAACAGTTGAAGAGCCTCATGGCAGTTTTGAAAAAGCACAGCGACACGCTGCCACCGGAAGTTCAGAACATGGTGAACGAAGCTGCAATCAAAGAAGGACAGCAACAGACCAAGCAACTCCACGCTGTGGTAGCAGCCCATGGGCGAGCTCGCAAAGAGCTGCAACAAGCTCAATTGGCACGCTTCCAACTTCACAACGCTTGGAGGGGATTTCTCAGCCAAGCTGTCACTCAGTGGCAGGGCTACAGTGCACAATTCCTGGAACAAGAAAAACAGATGAACGAGCGTGTCAATACAGCAATGGAAGCTTTGAACCAAGCAAAAGAAAGCCTGGCCAAAGCCAAGTCCACAGCTGGAGTCGAAGCCAAAGAAGACACCATGGCTATCAGCGACGAAGAGCCGGACAAGGAGATCGCAGGCTCAACAGCCGATCGTATCCAAGAAGGCCTCACCAATTTGCAGTCCAGCCTCGAGGCGCTACAGTCCTCAGCCGAGCAGATGGTAGAGGACGAACAGAAGGCCCTCAAGCGACCACGCCTAGACACGGGTCAACTGGACTCAGCAAAGCCGTCCGAGTTGCCTGGTGCTGCATCGGGTTTTGGTTAGGCCGAGTGAATACAGATCAGGTTTCTATTGCTCCATGGCCCTTTATCCATGCAACCGCAGTTCACCATCTAGTTCCCAGATGGACACACACTGTTCTACATGAACGCAGTTTTGTTTCAGAGTGGCAAGCACAAGACGTAGCGTTTCACTTGGCACACGAAGTGAGCATTTTGCCGTTCCAGTGCCATCCAGTTTTGTCCGAACCATCGTCACCTGCAGGTGTCATGTCGACCCGGTTTCACCCAATTTTGTCCTGCAAAGGTTCAGCCGCTCCATCCCTAGGTGATGATACCCCCAAGAAAGCCACACTAAGGAAAGGTGTTACTTTTTCCGATGTCCTCTGCATTAGGATAGGCGAAGACACTTCCTTTGCATTCCAGGACTTTTGGACTCATGTTGATGCCTTACTTTCAGTTTTGAAACCTTGGACTCTGGACGCTCAGCAGGACCTGACTGAACCAACCGACTATGGCACAGCCCGTAAGACCATTGTCCCAGACAATAGGCTGCACCCAATCCTCAGGCAACTTGAACCTGACCGGAGGAACATGCCTGTTTCCAATCAGTCCCATGAGCATCCGATGCATCCGACAAACCCCAATGTACAGATGCTGCAGCAGCCGATACGTTCCTCCGTTTGTACAGAGATGCCGTTCATGTCCATGCAAACCATTGATCCTGTCGTCCACCAGCATGAAGCCCAGCTTGCTTTTAGTGACCAGGTGCTTTGCAACCGAGGCAACAAGCCAACAGCCGTTCGTCCCTTCCACATGTCATTGCTCAGTGACATCCAAATGTCATTGCGTACCTTGGATACTCACCCCAAAGTAGCCAGCAAAGCAACACGACACGTGCCCGCAATGGGAAGAGACATAACAATCCAGCCAAAGGGGATTGACAATGCCATGGTTGCACATACTGAAAGCTCCCAGCCATCTATTGCCAAAGTCAGGCGTGAGCATGAAAGCCCGATTGCCCATCTGGTTGGACCACAGCAGGATGGAGATGACACTGAGGATGAACAGATGGATGAGCATGATCACCCAGTGTTGCCCGCCTTTGTCAACTACTTAACCAACAGGTTAGAAGGACTAGGGCTCAATCCACATGACAATGACTTTGACCTTGCTGTGCGCACATGGTACATTGATCATCGCACCATCCACCGATGGACCGCACCTCGAATACTGCAACTGGTGGGACCCCCAAGGGGATGGGAAGCACAAATTCAATCTTTGTGGGTAGACCAACTCAACAATGATGACTGGTTTGATGCAATCATCGTAGAGCCTGATCCCCCAAGGCTTGCACGACATGCGTTTGTAGTATACGACATTATCGTCACGCAGTCTTTAGACATGCCACGTGTTGCTTCCATGGTCACCGTCTTGCCAGGCCGCGCAGATACCTTCCAGATGTATTCAGTGGCCTGTTCATTGCCTGAAGTTGTCAGTGGATATGAATTGGTCCAAGCAGCCGACGCAGGAAGACACTGTAGACATGCGGAATGCCTCATCACATACAGGTGGATTCAAATCCCCAACACGCTACGTCCAACGCACCAAGTTGGTCATGGTGATGGGTTTCAGATTGTAGTCCATGATCAGGAGCGCATACCACTGTCAAGGCATGCAGATGACGCCAGTTCGTCAGAAGCCATCACTACCAGTCCATCATACTCTCCTGGAAGACATGCACAGGCAGCGTCCAGCAATCAGCCAGCCCGTTTCACAACAATGCTGCACCTTTTCCAGCTTGAAGGAATTGAAGTATGTTGCCAAGTCCTCAATGACCAACGTGTCTTGCCGACTCAGGAAATTGCGGATGCACTGCACATACCCCTTGATTGCCTGGAAGCTATCCATGTCATGCCACACACGCCTTTCCAGATGCCAGAGTATGACATGGTGGCTGTAGTCCAACGCACTGGAGACCTAGCGCCCAACACCATGGACAGGCTCATGCTTGTGGATATCGTATACCACCATCATCCAGACTCGGAAGGTGTGACTCACAGACCCACTCTAGTGCGAGAAGTTCAACGGGTTGGTCATCAAATTTTGCGTCAGCAAATCCTTCTTGCTGCAGCCGTGCATCACTATTGCATCCTAGTGACCACGCAATGTGCTGTAACATTTGATGGCGTCTTGTGGCCAGAACACGAGCACAGCCCAAGACCGGTGCACCATGGTTCCTATGCCCAGGTCATTGTGCCACCGCCACCCACGCATGACATTCCCACCCAAATAGCTGTGGAAGTCACTCACCAAACGGCCGAAAATGATGATGCACAAGCTGACCTGCTGGACCCATCTAGTGCTGATGATGACATTGCAAATGCAATAGACGCAGACGATGTCGACTCTGATGATGTTCAGCTGACACAAGTTGCTGCACAACACCGCAATGTTGCATCATTCCAAACACGCTTGCCTGCAGATGCTGATCAGCTTCCAAAACACAAACCAGCAGGGAAACAAACCCTCCCTGCACGGATAGCTGATGATCTGCCACCAAAGGCCAGGCCCCTACAAGCTGAAGGCTTAACACAGTGCGTGGGTCAGACATCGACGTCAACTTCGCCCAAAACTGCGCACACTGAGGCACTTGAAGAAATGCCCACAGACGATGTCCGACCCATTCAAGCTCAGCCGTCCCTAGGTGACCCAGAAGCCAAGCCATGTACAGAAAAACGCCCAAAACAGCTCACCATCACGAGCTTTTTCAAAGCGCCACAGGGACAGAAGGTTCAAACGGAAGCCAAGAAGCAGACAACCATTGGACAGTTCTTCAAGGTTAAACCCAACCGTGAACTACCTGAACAGCAAAGCTGCCTTGATGTGTTGCCTTCTGCATCCGACTCACCTAGGCAGGAATCAGTTGTAGTCCCAATGCATGATCCAGTAGCACATGCTCAGACAGTGCAAGCCCGCACAGGCTATCATCATGAAGCTGAACCCCCCACATTTGAAGCGAGGGTTCCAGCTCAACCTGCCAACCCTGAAGCGCCGCCTCCACGCCCCATTTGGCATATGGAGTTGAACATCATCTTCCTTGAGGAAGCCATCACACACAGACGTGAGGTCGGACCCGAAATGCCTGTGGAAGTATGGTATGTTCATCACGCTGACATGCCCATATGCCGACACCCCCGCTTGATCCGATTGGATGACATCCGTGATTTGTGGTACGCAGACCTATGCAATGCATGGTTTGACCAACTCCGCAGACACCAGCCGGTAAGGGTCCACATCGTCAAGCCGACACCGCCATATCAAATGAGACGTCAAGCAGTGATCCACATCATCCTGGAACAAGGGATGACCCCAGAGAAAGCCGCCATCCTGCTCACCGTTGCCTTCCATGGAGGTACCAGAATGGGCCTCATGCAGCAAGCAGAATCATCCCCAGTGGACACCTGCACAGAACGTGTCATTCAAGACCATGGCCTGCAGCCTCAATGTGATTTTCGTCCATGTAACCTGTTCTCCGGTAGGTTTCGTTTTCACCACCACAACACTGAAAGAGTGCCCTCTGGCATCAGCTTGTTGCTCGATGTAGGGGACCACAGGCTCCAAGCACCGGCGCAATCCAGCACTGATGATCCCATGCTTGTAGAGCCAAACGACACCACCCCGGCAAGTGAAGCAGACAGCATGGATGATGCAACTGCGCTGATGCAACGGCCCAGGTACAAAGCATTTCCCCGACCAACATCAGGTACCAGTCAAGGCATCACACAGGCGCCTACCAGTTCCTCATGGTTCACTATCTCCCAACCGCTTGCACCTACAGGTACTGGCCAACACCAGCCGGTCCAATGGACCACAATCCAAGACAGAAACCTCGCAGATTTTCACACAATGCAGCAGTGGTTGTCCAACCGTGCACAACAGGACCGATGCCAACCAGATATTGGTCAAGCCAAAATTGCCACTTGGTACCTTGAGCCACAAGTGATGCCTCGTAGTGACCATTACCGGGACGTTCTGTTGTCTGCCAACCCGACCCTGTGGCCAAGTGAGGTACTACAGCGTTGGGCCGACATGTTGCAACCATCCCAACCAGTTGACCTCTACGTAGTGCAGCCCGATCCACCAGGAGGAATGCCTGATGTGTTTGCCCATGTCATCGTCACCCAAAAGACACCGCCTGATCAAGCAGCAGCACTGGTCTCTGTTACTGAATTGCTTGAAGATCCCTGGCACCCATCAAGATTTGCCCTCTTCTTGCATAGCCCTGTAACCAGCGATGCCCTCTTTGAACATGCAGGCATTCCGCAAGACCAAGTAGCCGCCACACCTGGGCTCAGTGCCTACCACGGAACAACACACATTCCGCATGGCAGTTCCTACCCAGTGCGCTCGGGTTTTGCTTTCGAGGTTGTGACTGACTCACTTGACTTTGAGGAGGAAGGGAGCGCTCTCCTACAATTCTCCCCTGCCTGGCCAAGAAGGGAACACCAAACCTCAGACATGCCCAATGCAGCTACAGCTAACAGCAGCCATGCTGCTTGCTGTGAGCAGCTCATTGAGTCCATGCGACAACTTGACATGGCCATACAGCGCATAAACACAGCTCTCTGCTCCAGAACGGTGGCTTCACCGAAACAAATCCATGTTGAGCCTCACCCAGAGGTACCTCAACCTATGCATATTACCCTGTGCAAAGACCCTCAGATCGAGGAAGATACCTTTCAATGCCACACACCAGGGCTGGGACGACAGCCCGACACATTGCACCGCTGGCAGCAATTAGCTGGCATCAGACCCAAAGAAGCCCGTCCAATGGCACCCATCATGACGTGGTACGTGGATCATGAGCGATTCCCACAGTGCTTTGCCCCAAGGGAAGTGTTTGTCACTAGACATCCTCAGGCATGGAAGCGACTCATCCTGCAAGCATGGAATGACATCTATTTGCCTGCAAACCAGGTTGAAATAGTCGTAGTCCAGCCAAATCCCATCATGATGGAAGAGCACTTGGTAGCTCATGTAATTGTGCTACAACAGCAAATGCCAGGATTCACCACGGCGTTGCTCACCACACTGGATAGTGCGACACCTGGTGTACACAGGAGACATGCCACTATTGCCCCAACTGAACTCAGCAGAGCCACGCTGCTTGCAATTGCGTTCCATCCTCAGGAATGTGAGCGAGAATCCAACACCTGCGACACCTGGGTTGGAGAAGAGGCTCTGGACGAACAAGCACCATTGCCACTCTCGCCAGGGTCATCATGCACGGCTGCCTTACACCGACATGTGCCACAGCCGCCAGGACAGCCAGACCCATGGAACTGCAGTGCGCCCAAACACTGCCCACATAGAGTGACGCTTTGCCTGCAAGCAGTCCTTCCTGCCAAAGCACATCCGGAGCCTGTCAGTCTCGATGATGACAAGCCACAATTGTTGTGGTTTGCAAATGAAGCATGGAAACTTGCCCTTGAAGCCGAAGTGCCATTGCAACTCCTCCCACTGCCTGATGGACTCGTAGTTCCTGAGCAATCCTACTGGTCGTTGCTTCAACCACCACAACTGTCAGATGGAGCCGACATGTCCTACACACTTTACCTGGATGGAGCCGCCAATGGCCAAGAAGCCGGCTGGAGTGTTATTGCTATTGCAAACTGCCACCAGCAAGAGACCTTCCTTGGTTGCATCTATGGTACTGTACAGCTCAATCCACACCACCCTGACTGGCTAGGAGCAACCACAGCTGACAACATCTCTGCAGAACTATCAGCCATGGTTGTTGCGCAAAACCTTGCCATGAGATGGTCCGGCAACCACCAATTTTGTATACGCCCTGACCTATCACTGAGCCGCACAGTAGCCACAGCTTTAACCACATGCAAGTCCAACCAGCCCCTCGCCAGACTATGTGGGGCTTTGGGCCTTTGGCTAGGCCCCAAAGTGACCATCCATGAAGTCAGAGGCCACCAAGGGCATGCCTGGAATGAGCTAGCCGATGCAGTTGCAAAGTGGGCAATGCAACAGCACACTAACCCTGCGACAGGGCAATTTGCCCAACTACACCAGCTTGCCACCAATCAACACGATGTGGATTGGGTATGGATGCAAACCACGCATCCTGCAATTGCTGCCTGCTTCCCACCGCTCAGCCAACAGCAGATCATGCACTTCACGCAGCCTACCACAAAGCTTGGCATCCTGCCAACTGAGCGCCACATCGGTGACCATCAGGAAGCTGGATTGAAATGGGGCCTTAAAGTTTGTACAACCAATGTTCTTGCAGCCGAGGTCTGGGCCACGCACACAGCAGGCACCAAACGCACAGGGCAGAGGACGGTGCGTCTTGACCAGCAATGGCATCAAGCCAACATTCATGTCATCGGTGTTCAAGAGGCCAGAACGCCCCAAGGACGTTACCATGCACCTCATTATCATATCCTGGCTTCCGGTGCCCATTGCAAGAGAGCACCGCTCTACGGGTGTGAATTGTGGATCCATAAGACCTTGCCGATCGCAACAGACCCTCAAGGGAAACCCATTGCACTCGGCAAAGCACTCCTCACGGTCCAGCACGCTGATCCACGCCGCCTCATGGTAGAAGCGAAGATCGGCCATTACGTTTATGCGTTCATTGTCCTGCATGCCCCAAGCCTTGCCTCATCAGCACAAGATGTTCCCGACCCCATCGAAGCAGCCACGCAATGGTGGGATGAAACAGCAGCCCTTTATGCCAAGTACGTGACTGCTGGGGCCCAATGGGTTTTCATCGATGCAAATGCTCCCCTGGATGCTGGGGATGGCTTGCTCATTGGACCACACGGTGCTGAACCTGCCAATCATGCAAGCGCACGGTTTGAGAGCTTCATCCAACTGCAGCACCTAATGGTGCCTTCCACCTTTGCCTCCATCCATGATGGCCCAACCACCACATGGACTCACAGCACCGGAAAGAAGAGCCGCAAGGACTACATCCTTCTCTCCCAAGAAGTGGCAAAGTTGGCTAGCAAAAGCTGGGTAGAAGTACACCATGATAGCACATTTGCACACGAAGACCACCTGCCGGTTGTCTTGCAATGTGCTGGATGGCTTCCAACATCTCATACCCACCCGCCCATCGGATGGGATGACCGTGCCATGTTGGACCCAGCCAAAATTGATGCATTCCAGCAAGCACTGCACACGCTACCATTGCCTGCGTGGGACATAGGGGTAGATGATCATGCTGCCCTCTATGAGCAGCAGTTGCTGGCCCTTGGCCGCCAATTCTTTGCCCGCAAACCTCGCAAAGAGCGACCGATCACCCTCAGCTCCCAGACACTGGAAGCCATTGCATTCAAAAGGCATGTACTGGACTTCGGTCGACAAACCAACAGCATGCACCATGAGGACTTCAAGGCAGAGCTGCGAAGCATCGAAAAGACAGATGCTCGTGCAGTGCGCGATGATATCCAAGGCTTCTACAATGACTTGCTGCAGCAGATTCAGGCATCTGGAGAAATCTCCAACCACCGCCTGGTCTTTCGGCTCCTCCATAGATTGGGCCGCAAGAAAGGTGCAGAGCAAACGGGCCCAGGCCCCTGCCAATGATCCAGAAGTCTGACGGTACCACTGCCAGCTCATACCTTGATCAGCAGCGCACATGGATGCACCAATTTGCAAGCATTGAAGCTGGCGTCCCCCGAACTTGGGACGAGCTTGAACAGCAGCACGCTGCCTTGCACCAATCCCAGCATTGCCATGACCTTGAACCTGCAGCCTTCCCTGGCCAATGGCAAATCCGCATGCTAATTTCCAAATTACACAGAGACAAAGTACCCGGTCCCAACCTTGTGCCACCTGCGTTGCTTAAGGCTGGGGGAAGCGTTGTGGCCAAACAGCTCGCAGTGATGTTCACAAAAGCGGCTGCAGGCGCTCAGGAACCCCTCCATTGGAAAGGTGGGGTCTTGATCCCACTTTGGAAGGGAAAACTAGCGCCACACCTGGCAAATGGATATCGAAGCATCTTTATCTCGAATTACACGACCAAATTATATCACCAGTGTTTTCGTGCCCATTTGGTTGAGGCCTGGGAGAAAACCTTGACACACCTCCAATGTGGCGGCAGGAAGGGAATCGGTGCCGACATTGCTCACCACCTCGTACAATGCCACCAATCCTGGTGCAAACAGAAAGCAGTGCCTTCAGCTGCTCTGTTCTTTGACCCCAAATCGGCATTTTACATGGTATTGCGACAAGCCTTCACTCAAATTCCCTCCCATGATGACGCATTCATGGCAGCGATGTATCATGTTGGACTGACCCCAGCTGAAGTCCACCAATTGATCACCAATGCTGCCGCCGATGATGCTGCCAAAGGACTTCCATGCCACATGCAACACATCCTGCATGACCTTTTACACAATACGTACTTCACAGTGCAAGGCCTCCCTGATCCGTGCCAAACCACCCGTGGCACCCGACCGGGGGATCCCATTGCCGATGTGTTGTTCAACCTTTGTATGCACCTCATCCTGACCGACTTTCGTGCCTCAATGGAGCAAAGTTCTGATGTCCCTTGGTTAGGCCAAGCAACTCCGGTGTCCGACTTGTGTAACATCCCAAGTATACCGCCCACCGGCTTCATTGATGTTACGTTCGTGGACGACTGTGTGGTCCTGATCCATGGACGTTCCAATGACAATGTCGCAGCAACCATGAAAGCAGTTGTTCAAGCCATGGACAAAGCTGCTGCCACATGGGGACTCAGCATCAACTATGAACGTGGCAAAACCGAGGCACTCTGGACCATTCTTGGCAAAGGGGCCAGACAAATGAAACAAACCCTCCATGAAGCTGGACAAATCCTGCAGTGGACTCATGAGGGCATCCAGTACACGATACCACTGTGTCACACATACAAGCATTTGGGAACCTGGCTCCAAGCGCACCACAAGCATACCAGGGAAATCCTAGCCAGGAGCTCGGCTGCCAAGCAACAATACGGTCAGCTTGCACGTTCCTTTTTCACCAAAAAGTGCATCACCCTGCCGGTCAAGAGTGCCATTTTCCAATCCCTGGTACTCTCCAAGATGCTTTACAATGTGCACACATGGACATCCGTCACGCACAAGCACATGCACTCGTGGATTAACCACCTCAAAGCCCCCACTGGCACCCTACTGAAAGGGTTGCTGATGGCGCCTACCAGATTCATGCATACCACTGATGAAATGATGGCATGCGCAGGCATCCTCCCGCTCATGGACCAAGTACATGCCAACCGGCTGAGGTTCCTGGCACGATTGCTCGGCGCCTGCCCCCCTATCACATGGGCACTGATGCACCACACCACAGGACATCATTCCTGGATGGAACAATGCATGGAATCATGTCAATGGATGCTCTACCACTATGACAGCAAGCTTCCCCTGGACACCTCATCGCTATTCCAAGACTGGGTGCAGTTCGTGCGACTAGATCCCAACTGGAAAGGCCGGGTCCGAAAAACCAGCAAGCTAGCCTTGTCATACCATCGAGCCAGAGCCGACCATGCCATCTGGCAACGACACTTTGACCACCGCCTAACTGCTGCAGGAGCGACTCTGCCTGACAAGTCCAAACCGCAGTCAGCTCCAGAGCGTTGGCAATGCGACCTGTGCCAAAAAGTGTTCAGCTCCACCAGGGCGCTCGCAATGCATGCTGCACGTGGGCATGGCTACAGGAAAAAGGTCCGATACTTTGCAATCGGAGACACATGCCAAGCATGTGGGCAAAACTTTCACACCAGGAAAAGGCTCTCTGTGCACTATGAAAAGCAGCAAAAGTGCTACGACATAGTCACTGCCTGCTGGCCGCCCTTTCCTGCTGCTATGGTGCAAAGCCTTGACATGGCAGACAAAGAAGATGAAGTGCAACTGCGCAAACAGGGGTGGTGGGCGGCAAAAGCTTTCCAACCGGTGCAGCAGACTCAGGGTCCCCCACTCCCCTCTGCTGGCTCTGCTGCAGCTCAAGCCATGCATGACAAGATGATGCAGAGACGTCCAAGCGACGAATTAGCCTATACGCAATTGCAGGGCACTCGCATCACCAAGCTTCCACCGGCTGATCCCCAGCTCTGGTGGACACGTGCCGACCTCCCGTCCTTCATCATGCAGTCAGTTAGCGGCAGAGACAGCGCTGGCGGCGCATTTGCAATGCAAGGTCTCGCCAGAGAGACCGCCCTGCTTCATGTTAGAGCACTTGTTGTGGTGCACTTCTTTAGCGGCTTTCGCAGGATGGGCGATATCCATCACATCCTCGACCACCGCACCATGGAGACAGGAGCACAGGTCTTTACCATCTCGGTAGATCTATGCACGCAAAGGGTCAACGATGACCTTGCCACGCCACAGGCCTCACGATGGTGGCGAGAGCGAGTCCTTGCTGGACAAGTGGTGGCGGCTGGAGGAGGCCCACCATGTGAAACGTTCACTGTGGCCCGACAATATGAAGGAGGCCCCAGGCCATTGCGGGACTCTGCCCATCCCCTCGGTCTCCCGGGACTCACTCTCAAAGAGTGGGCACAGCTGCGCATCAGCGACAGGCTCCTCCGCTTTCTGCTCGACGTTCTCGTGGCCCTTGCCCTCATGGGGATGAGCGGATTTTTGGAACATCCGCAATTTCCAACGTGGTGCACCAAAGGCTCTCCGGCGAGCATTTGGGCCACCGAAGCCCTCATCATTCTGAAGAATCTGGGGTGCTTCTCCGTGGTGAGCTTCGATCAATGCACAGTTGGCGCCCTGGGGAAAAAACCGACCACTCTCCTCCTGCTGAGACTGCCGAGGGTGCGAGACAAGCTCTTGGGGCGTGGCCGCAGCGGTCGGTGCAATCACCAGCCTGGAGCCCATGTGACGCTGATCGGCCGTGAGGAAGATGGCACATTCCACACGGCCAAAGCCAAAGTATATCCCTATGGCCTCAACAAGATACTGGGTGAAGCGCTCTTTGATGCAGCGGTGCAATGGCAGCACCTGGACGTCGCAACCGACCTGCCCAAGGAGTTCACCCCGTACCTTGAACAAAGTTGCCATGCCCCGGAGGTGGTGCAACCAGACTACCACGGTGGCAGCTGAGGTATACTCAGCGTCGTAGTGCATCGACAGACCAAGCACCAAAACGGTGCAGCAGTGGAAATGGAAAAAATGGGGTAGGTCAACCACCAACCAGGCGTGTCACAAACCATGGTGATTCCCGAAATCGCGACATAGAGGAGCAGGTTCATATCCAGCTACAGGATGGTGCCCCCCCAGTTCTAAGTTGGTTTATGAACCATTATATACAATTAAACCCCATTAACTATAATTAGTTATATCTACCATGAACTATAGGTAAGTCACTTATAAGGCAACTGAACGCTATCTTGGGGGCCCCATCCTGTAGATATGTCCTTTCTTTCCTTCTGTTCTATAGTTGATTACCCTCTGATTGAGGCGAGACAAAGGAGAAAATCACAAAAGCACAGTAGCAGTGCTGCAGATGAGAGGTCCTCATCGCCCCAAATTCAAACTTCATGAATTGAGTTCGGATACACTTTGGATTTGATTTGTCAATTATATGAGATATCGTTGATATTGGATATAGTTTGAGGATTGGTTTTTGTTCAACTTTCTGCTTTCAGCCACCATGCGACACCGCGCAGCATGTCGCAGCTCACTCTTGCGACTGAGGTTTCGGAGTGCCGATGGATGCGCGGATCTTAAGCTGCTGGGGAGACTATGGCTGTTGGTTAAACTTTTGTTGGGGTCATTTTTACGGTCTTTGATAGGGATACGACTTGCAAGTGTGTGATATTTACTTGTATGTATATATCATATTAGTAAGCCCAGACGAAGTTGTTTGCGCTGTATCCCAAGTTCGCAATGATGAAGTCCAAATGCTTTTGGACCAGCGATTCCTAAGCCTTAATGATGCTCGCCTTCTTGGTTTAACAACTCAGGGCTTCTGCCCCAGGTTCGCACTTGGCCAAAGTTAGTGATTGTCAGCCCGGAGAATGAGATTAAGTGCCCACATCTGAATGTCATTAGAATGGCCCTGAGGTTGGCCCAATGGTTTTGGCTGTGGGACCATGGCAACATGGCTCAACATGTGACCATAGGTTCCTGAATGGCCAGTGGCCGTGGGAAGGTACAACGATGCTTCTCAGTTGGTGCGAAATTGCAACGACGAGTGTCGTCCTCAATGCATGGAGATGTAGTTCACCCGAAATCCAACCCGTCAAAGAACGAAGTTGCTAAAGGCAGCACTACATATATATATACTGTAATTATATACATATTAATACATATCATATATATATAAGATAGGAACAGGTATAATATTATCATATACTATATAGATTATATATGATATTATATGATATATTTCCATCGAAAAATCGAACACCTAGGATACCTAGGTACTCCTAGGTAGCCAACCATCACCAACTGCGTCCGCGTCACCGTCCAGGAAGAAGCCATGGGCTTTCGGGTCGATCTTAGCCAGTGCTTGGAGTGACGTGATCCTCAAGAGGTGACAACAGAAACTCGCGGTTTCCGTGATCCTATAACAAGTGAATAACATTATCTATACATTATCTATACATTATCTATACATTATCTATACATGATCTATACATTATGTAAATATGAAGTGCGGGTTTTAGTACATAAATGATGTTTTCTATGTATATAACGTACCTTTAGATACAGATCTATAATGATATAGATATGTTCGTCGTATAATGGTTGATGCAGTTCTCAGCAGCTAAAGATGAAGCCAGAAACTGTCAATGCAGATGTGTCTGTCGCTATCGCTTGAGTTTCATATTTCTGTGGAGGTAGAAATGGGATGATGATCCAATTGTTGTTAGGAACGTAGCAGGGTTGCCTGCCATGCTTCCGACCTGATAGGCGATTCCAGAGTCTCTTTGGGGCAGCTTGGGTACGGTGAAAAAGATCGACGCCGAGCAGTTCTGCCAGGGTCTTGCACACTGGAAAGCCACTGGTTGGTGCTCCAATATGTTCCAATTGTTATGTGAGTTTGGTGAAGCTGGTGAAGCTTGCACATCACACCAGGTTTCCACAAATGTCAATGATTTTTGGAGTACTCACCGTTTGAATCCGTTGAATAGGGCTCGCTATTAATTAAGCACGGTGACAGCGATTCAATAGGGTTCCTCTTGGGGCCTGTGCTGAACAGATGCAAAAAAACAATGTCAACACATTTTGGGCCAGAACATATACATAGGTATATACATGTATATCATAGGTACATATGTGTGTATATATATATATATATATATATGGGTATATATACGTTTATATTCACATCAGACTGAGATCTTAGAATCTAGTCATGAACCTCTCCTAGGCAGTCATATGAGAATATATGGGATATCTACTTATATATATATATGATATTATATGTTGAATAAGGGTGTATACATATACATATACATAAATGTGTATAGACTGTATACTTAGTATAGATTTTCAGGTTCTCCTGTGGAAAAACATCTCCTGTGACCTACAGCAAGAAAAACTCTACCAATCTTGGACGACAACTCTCAGCTAACTCGCTCCCAGCGCCATGGTTCGAACAGGTGATAAGCAAGGTGCGGTACCGGCGCACCGCCAGATGAGATTCATCAACTGTTCTAAGGCCTAACTATTTGGGGACACGAGTTTTCTAAATGACTATTAAAAGTGGTACCTGTCCCAAGAAACTGTGGCTTTGGCCAAATTTTAGCTTACGCCTAAATCATAATAGTATAAGAATAGTAATGCTAGTAACTACAAACTTGAATACTCGTAAAGCTAATAATAGCCATTATGCTAATAAAGCTAGTATTAGTAATTGACTAAGAATTGTAATTATGCTAATAATAGTAACTATGCTAATACTGCGATAATTGTACTTATGCTAATGACAATAGTAAATTATGTTAATAATAGTAATATGATTTAATTGTGCTAATGATAGCAATAGTAATTATGCTAATAATAACAATAATGGTCGTAATTAATATAGACTATACTGCTAAATACAAATTGTAATAATAATAATAAGTAATGACAGTAATAATAATATGTTAGTTAACAACAGTAATAATAATAATAATGAACTATTATAACAGATTATTATTACTATTATTACTATCATGGTGATTTACTAATGGTGATTTAAAAATGGTGATTTTCCCATTAACAATATAATAGTAATGATAAAACTGATCTTGGACCCGAAGCTTGGGTCGGTAGGTCCTAAGCGGACCATCCGCAACGGCACACGCGTCTTGGTGCGGGACTTGCCGGAGAAGTGTCATGGCGAAAGCCACGCGTAAAAATTCACGTGGTAGAGATATTAATGGATGGTTAACAAATAGTTAATGAATGGTTATGAGATCTAATGGAAACCACTATGAATGAATAATAATTGGATGGTTAATTATACTATTAATAGTTATCAATGGATGGTTACCATTGATATTAATAGTTAATGAATGGTTAACAAATCCAATGGTAGAGATAATATCAATCTTATTTATGAATGGTTAACACATAGTTAATTAGTGGTTATGGGAACTTTATGAATATCACCATTAATAAGATGAATATTATCACCATGGGGATGAAAGATGTGCCAGCAAAGTCCTGTGGATGGTAGATGGCTTGGACATCCCATTGGAATCCCATGAAACTTACAGGAAATCCTCCACCAGGCAGGATAACTATTGGGAACTATAAAACCATCTACTAATTCTAGATAAATGGGAGTTCACCATCTACTAAGTGTTGGTAAATAATCCTATTGGTAATCACCATATTGGGAACTATAAAACAATGGGATGTTTATATTGGATGGTAAAACACGGTAAATTTCCACATTGGTAACTATAATTGGTAACTATACCATCACCATATGGGTAAAACACCGCATTTTTTCATGACAATGGGATGTCCAAGCCTAGATTTTTGGATGTCAAAGGGGGTTACCATAAAAATGGTGCTTCTGGGGATGGTGGAAGTGAGTTTATGGTAATTTAATGGGTTAATGACATAGCTATGGTTAAACCAATAGTAATTTAATAGTTGATGTCCCAGTGAGTTTAATAGTAATTTTTAATAGCTATGTCATTGGGTTTACCCGGCCTGGTAAACTAACAGTTTGCTATTGAAAATGGTGATTTAGTTCGTGGATTTAGCCATTAATAGCATGGTGATTTTCCATAGCGAACTGTTAGTTTACCAGAGGGTACCATATTGTTTGAGATTGTGATCCCAAGTGATATTCTTCGGATGAGTTGAAAGCATCAATCAGGTGCTTAAACAAAGAACTTTATTATTTTTTGGACGGATGTAGTTTGATATAAGGAATATGGAACTAACAATATGACAATATGGATATTGTTTCTTGACAAAGTGGATATTTTCAGGAACAGATTTTTCGATCATCTGGAGATATGGAGACTGGGGTATCAACCATTTTCAGATACTCATCAAATGGATTCAATTATGGTTAACTATGCTGGGCAAATTATAACGACCTCACTGCGACCTCACTGGAATCATGGTTAGTAGGGGAAATCATCCCCAAATGGCCTTATTTCAGGTTTGTGAAATATTATAATTTACCCAGACTATGGCTTTGTGGTCTTCCCTATTTAAAAGACATGTCACTTAACTTTCGGCCTGTCGGAGATTAAGCATGGTAGATTTTAGCTACTCTCCGGTGCCTCCGGTGTCATCAAACATGGCTGGGGGAGACATACCAGGCCATGTCTGCCAGAAGGCTTTTTTGGGGGAGACTTTTTTCTCTGGTAATGACTAACATAACGAACTGGAAAATCACCATGCTATTCATGGGAAAACTCACTATTTCAATGGTGATTTTCCATAGTTATGTTAGTCATTACCAGAGGGTAAACCTCCATTTTCCCATGGGGGTTTCCTATGGTTAGAGGGTAATCCTATTTGCAGGGCACATCTGTTCCGCAGAGTGCCTTCCGCCAAGGGTGCGGAAGACATCGCTGCAGTCGGCCTTTGGGGACTTTGGCAACGTGGTCCGCATCGATGCTCGGCTCCAATGTTGGCACTATCCCGTGTGCCAATCGTCGGATAGTCAAAGGAAGTTTAGCTCCAAAACTTCCGAGCTACGGACGAATGTCCGGCAGTCAAGGCATAATCTTACCATCATGTCAACATCATTCGTGTGTGAAAGCAGCATAGAGGAGAGAAACACTTCGGGAACGCGTGGATTCACGGATGAAAACACGCTCGGGCACGAAATTCTGCGTTTTTTGGGGTAAAGTGGCTTTCGGGGTGGAAGTATGTTTCCGCGGGTTTGCGGCTCGATCTGGGAAAGTGGTTGGCAAAGTGCACAGGACTGTGGCGGGAGCTCAATTCGCATGTCAAAATGTTAAAAAACTGATGCGTTCGGAGCACTTTTGGAAGTGCACTTGAAAATGCTGACAACTGCATGCTCGGAGGATGACGTCGGCAAAATGTGCACCAGACTGTAGTGAGAGCTTGATTCAACATAAAAATCGCCAAAAATGCTACAGCGCTGCGCGAACGTTGGTCCATTCCGTGCCCCAACAAGGCGAAAAGTCGTTGAGCCCTCTTTAAGACATGTTCAGCGATCCTGGCAGTGAAAGGCAGTGAAACCACGTACCATTTGTTTTGCCATGATTATTTATTAACAACAGTGACATGGTCATGGGTCAGAATTGGGGTCAAGAATTTGGCTGGTTCCGTGGTAAAAATGACAAACATCTGTGGCCCTTGGGCTTTGAACTTGAAGGTTGGTAAATCCAGGAACGCAAATAGAGATTTACAGTACAGATAGATATACACAAGATGCATATATGGCGTCACAAAGTTTGCTCTACGGCAAAAAAACAAATCAATCGTGATATGATAATGAAATTGCCAGTTTCGGATGATTGCAGCCAGACAGAAAGGCATTTAACCTCTATGAAATGGATATATTAATCTATACTATAGATTAATATATCCATTTCAAAGAGGTTAAATTAGTCTATACACCACCAGTGATTGTAGTGTATTCCAATGTGTTAGGTTTGTTTATGCTTGGAATATAAATGTGTGTTATGATTGCCTATTTGCTACATACATATATATATATAGAGAGAGAGGTAGATGGATGCATAGAGATACTATACATGTTGAATAATTTGTTTTATCATCTATATATTTATTTTTATAAATTTATATATGTATATATATATACATGTATGCTCTTAATATTCCTCATATGCTTCTCATATATTATATACCGTATACATATTTGTAAACCATCCACAGTAGAAATCATCTTTGGTTGTCATCACAAAGTATCTTTAGATATCAAAATACCATTATCACCATTATTTTGATATAAAATATCTTTAGGCCATCATTTTTATAAATTATGTATATATATATATGTTTTTTATATAAAAATAAATGTTTTTAAATAGTTATAGATATAAACATGCCATTTAAGTCATCACAAATCATCTTTAAGTAATCATTAAAATGCCATTTGTATAGATATAAAAACAAAAAAACAAGATGAAGCCCACGAACCCGAATGCTCACACGTATGTTAATGGTACAGATGTCAATACACATGGTTATGCAGTCACGCACAATACCTTTCTGCAATAGTTTATTTGAACAGTCTTGTACATGTTTCCCTTGTTACCAGTCTGCAGTGTGGAGTGGAAAGTGTAGAGTGTGGAGTGTGGAGTGTAAAGTGTAGAGTGTAGCGTGTGGAATGTGGAGGGGGAGTGTAGAGTGTGTAAAGTGTAGAATGCGGAGTGTAAAGTGTAGAGTGTGGAGTATGGAGTGTAAAGTGTAGAGTGTGGAGTGTAGAGTGTGGAGTGTGGAGTGTAGAGTGTGGAGTGAGGAGTGTAAAGTGCAAAGTGTGGAGTGTGGAGTGTAAAGTGAGGAGTGTAAAGTGTGGAGTGAGGAGTGAGGAGTTTGTAAATTGTAGGGTGCGAAGTGTAGAGTGTAAAGTGTAGAGTGTAAAGTGTGGAGTGTAGAGTGTTATCAAACAGGTTGGAATGTCACAAAGTGCCACGCCTGCCACGCAAAACGACATGACAACCTGCGTGGAAACATTCGAAAAGGAGAGGTTTTGCGGCTTCCCCCATAGACACGGCGACGCCACAGGAAAACGAGAGAGTCGCGACAAGACACGTGGATGCAGAAAAAACAGCATTTCGTGCGAGACTTCCTCCAATTTTGCAATTTTGTGAACATCATCAAACAGGTTGGAATGTCAAAAAGTGCCACGTCTGCCACGCAAAACAACATGACAACCTGCTTGGAAACATTCGAAAAGGACAGGTTTTCCAGCTTCCCCCATAGACACGGAGACGCCACAGAAAAACAAGCGACTCGAGACAAGACACGTGGATGCAGAAAAACCAGCATTTTGTGCGAGACTTCCGGCAATTTTCACAGTTGGCAACACGACAAAAAGACAAGTTTTGCAGCTTCCCCCATAGACACGGCGAGGCCACGGGAAAACCAGACACGCGAGAAGAGACAGGTGGGAGCACCAAAACGAGCATTTCGTGCGAGACTTCCTCCACTTTTCACACTTTGCAGCTTCAAAATCGACGTTTTCCTACGAGTTTTCCTTAGAACCTGAAAATTTGCAACCTCAAAATCGATGTTTCGTGCGAGGCTTCCGTCAATTTTCAGCACATGTCAGAAAATGCCACGCCTGCCACGGAATTTGCACCTTGTCACCACTTGACGCAGCCCTGCCAATGCGATTTACAAAAAACACGCCACAGGACGCGTCTAAAGTGCTGCGCCTGCCACGAAAAATGACGATGGACGCGTCCAAAGTGCTGCGCCTGCCACGAAAACTGCAACACATCTTCTGAAAACGTCGCAAAAGTATTGCGCCTGCCACGCAAAACGACTTTCGACACGTTGCAGAACACGTCTGAATGTCACGAAGTGCCACGCCTGCCACGCGAAACGAAGCAACCAGACGTCTGAAACTTCCAAAAAGGACCACCTCTGTAAAACTTCCCATAGGCACGGCCATACGGTCCTCACGCGAACGGTTGCGAACGGTTGCGGACGGTTGCGGACGGTTGCGCTCGCGAACGCAACGTCGAGCGAACAGACCCTCAACCCCCAGACCCCCAGAGTGAAACGGGAACCCTTGCTACGCATTCGGGAAAAAACAATTTTTAGATGGTTTTCCCTTTATATATATTTATATAGATATTTATATATACCATTTATATAGATGTTTTTCCCGGCAAAGTCTTCACCACACATACACCGACCCTGCAACCGTCGCAACAGGAGCTGATGCCGGAGCAACGCACCGCGTACATCGAGTACGAAGAGCCGCGAGATGCGGAAGACGCGGCACGTGAAATGGACGGAAAGATGCTGGAGAGATCCAAAATTCGTAGCTTGACCCAAATTAATAGATGGGGAAAATGGGGCTTCTGATAGATGATACATGGATAGATACACTAATATGAAAAATACACTAGTATGATATTTCATATTAAAATGGTAAAATGAAGCTTCTGATAGATGATAGATGGGGTTGATAGATGATAGAATGAAGATCCAAATTAAAATGGGGTTGATAGATAGATATATGCTGTCTCGATAGACAGGTTGACTGGTTGATAGGTGGATACATAAATATATAGATTGATACATAGGTACAAAGATTTGCATACATACGCTATCTACATACACATACATATATATATATGCATATATACTCACATATGTATATGCACTTATACATCAATGAATACATATATATATATTTACATGTTTACAAATGAATACACATGTATATACATTTTCATATGTTCTGTTTCATTTATATATATATACGAATTTAACTACATACATACATACATACATACATGCATACATACATACATACATACATGTGTATATATATTTGAATGTGTATATATATATATTTAAATTCAAATATACATATGTTTACATAAATGTATACTCATTTTCTACACATATTTCCATATATATATATTTGAAGGCATGTTTACATACAAATATATATATATATATACAATTATTTACATGTATACATATTTACACATATACATATTTACATGTTTACACATGTTTTCATGTATACATATTTACATTACACATAAATACGTAAATAGGTATTTACATAAGTACATATTTACCAACATGCACATATACATTTTTCATATAGTTTTGTAAATTTATATTTGCACATATACATATATATGTGTGTGTTTATTCACATATATGTATACAGATGAATTTACATATTTATCTAGATAAATTCATAATACAATTTTCACACATATATTTACAAGTATATTTTCACACTTATGTATATGTATTTGTATATGTATATGTATATGTATGTGTATATATATATGTATGTACTTCTATATGTATTTGTATTTGTATATGTATATGTATATATGCATTCATATTGATATATGCATATACTATGTGTAGACTCTAGACTTCCATCAGGGGGATTTTGAATGTGAAAAAGTATTGGGGATGAAATGGAATATACAACCAACAATATGATTCTGCAGCTTTAAAGAGGAGTGTGAATACGGAGATTTGTTACTTGGTGATGTTGGAAATACACAGTTCGAAGTTTGAGTGGTGTATGGCAATGTAATGGTCATTCATGGGCGTGTTTTAATGCCAAGTAATATCTGGTCCATAAATCCATCATTGTCCTCATTTTGCAGGAACAAGAGATATTGGGTTCATGGAAATGAGGATTACATCAAGTTCGTCCAGTAGCCCAGCATTTTAAACTGGAGATGTTGGAAATCCAAAGTTCACCTTTTGACCAGGTGGGGGATGTTTAACTGCGGTTTTCCATTGCAAGGTTTCATCACCAAAGGTTATTTTTTGTTGGTTGCGAAGTCGGTAAGTAGTGTAAACAGCTGCCCAAATAGTTCATCCCTTTCCCTGATTCATTTCCCAATCGAAACCCTCCCAATATTAAAGAGCATTCAATATCAACGATCGGTACCCCAAATTGAGACATGGCTCACTCTAGGTCCGACTCTTGAGACAACTGCATATAACGGTGCGTTCCCTATTGATCGTCAGATGGAACTGCAATGGTCTATAGTTTAGAATTTGGGTTAAGAATGATAGTTCTATGACTTTATGTAGACCCTTGAAAGATGTTCATCTGTGTTTTCTCGCAATTTCCATATTTAAACCTTGTATCTCTACAACATGGTGCCGCCACCAGTTTTGTTGACTTTGACTCACCCCATGAACTTCTCGCGATTTCGTCGGGACATTTTTCACACCTTGATATAGAGATGACCCTTTGAAAAAATCGCATGATGGTTGGTTCCACCATGTTGTTGATTATCTCTAGAATTCTAACCTTTGCTCATATGTGTTTTCCTCGGATGGTAAGAATCGGGGATTGCTGAGGAACGAAGATGATGGATGATCGACCACGGGCGGCAATGGACCATGCCATTCGCGTGCAGGAAGCGTGTCTCGGTGATCATCCCGGCACAGCGAGGCACCCCAGGTAGAAAAATGGCCATAAATTTGGCATTTAATGGGATGTCATCATCATTTTCAGGGTTTGAACATGTTTTAACCGTTTATGATTATTTAGTTGGAGTTTATGCTTGATCTCTAGGGTTTAAACCATCGAGAATCCCGAGATAGAATTGAAACATGTTTGTTGCTGGATGATTAGTTCGGGGGCTATGCTACCCAATGTATGGGGTGATTATCTTTATCGATTTTCACTGCAAAGCCCACTCCCAAGTCACCAGAAATGGTGGGTTTGGCAGGATGTCACTAACCAGAAATAGGAGTTTTTGAAGCAAACTCAGATGGGAATATTGTGGGATATTACCGTGGGATATGATCAAATGCATTTAAGAAGCAACAAATTCTCATGGTTCGTCATCATCATCATCACCATTATCATCATCATCATCATCATCATCAGCAGCAGCAGCAGCATCAGCATCAGCATCAGCATCAGCATCATCACCGTCATCATCAGCCTCATTGTATCATCAGTTTCCCAAATAGAAATGGTCATTGTGTGTCGTTTTGGTGTTTGAAACTGCCGCATAACTCTCTATGGGTCTGACTTTCCCCACCTTGGGTTGATAGCACTGGGATGCGCCTCTGTTCTTCATATCATGGGTCCATTTGTTTGGGTGTTTTTGTGTGTATTATACATATATATATATATATTATACGTAAACCGGTTCTTAGCCACAAAGCACGATGCAAATCCAAGTGAGATTGCTACTTGTTTTGGCTCAAAAAAATTGGAATGTCCCAAGAGTTGATTCAGTGATATCGCTGTGGCAAAAAACAAAAACGCGGCGGCCTTGGTGGATTTCACCTGCACGGGATCCCTGAGATGAGCCAACTGAGTTTGATCCACCAACGCCCGATGTGTTCGTTTGAGTGGTTCTGAAAAAATGGCGTTGCTTACAACACATAACTGGTTGGTGGTTTGGAACATTTTTTATTTTTCCATATATTGGGAAGAATATGGAATAATAACAATCCACCAGAATTGCATCAGAAGCCTTGCCTGGAATGGGGGTTACCCATGTTGAGTCCAATGTTTCACATGAAACGTAATTACGCTCCGTGCGAAGGTGCTTGGCAAACCTGGAATCCCGTGCTGCTGAGCATCAACAGCGCATCTTTGGTCGCTTCGGAACTGACACAGTTTTGCTACAGCCGATGTCAGGGAATTGCTGACTCAGCTGGATTTAAACCACAATTCACGGTGACTTAACCACCAGGAGTTAGCCAAAATATTGGCGGTGATTTGATGAACTAACCATCCAAAAGAATGGGTCCAATCATGTTTCTTTTTTTACCAGCTGGCTGTTGGTTTCGCATATGTTTTTTTCACCAAAGCAGTGCGATGATGATCCCGATTGATATATCTCCGGGGGGTTTAAATCACCAACCAGATCAGTTCAACGCATATTTCGAAGTTGATTTTCTCCGTGAAACTGCCCCACTGTTGGAACTTAAAGAATCTACATGGCTGGCAGATTGTCGCCATGACAACCAGAAGGTAGCCGTTTCCACCGAGGATGATCTGGCACTTGATACAAATGAAAAATTGAACTGCATCAATCCTGAAATTTCACAGGGAATTCATATTTAGGGCTGTGTTCAATTAGAAATTCCTCCTTTTAAAGCAAATTTCCAGGGGTTCCATGTTGCATTTACCAAGGCCCCAAGGCCCAGGTCTTCAAGGTTGACCAGCGAAAACCCACAATTTTATCAATATCAGTTCTCTATCCCCATATCGACATGAAAGAAAATATTCCTTATTTAATCATTATCCCAATGTTTGTTGTATCCCATTGTTTTTCCCAAAAACAAATCCCAAAATCCCAATTGTGATATGCCTATTTGCCATCATTTGCCCAGTTGAAGTCCAATTTTTTGCCACCAGTTTGTTCCCACAAAATTCACCACAAAGTTCCACAATCATATTTTACCAATATTTAATATTAATGGTTACTAATAACCATCATTAACCACAAATTACCAATATATATATATATATTAACCATGGTTAATCCCCATGGTTTATCCCCATTTTCCCATGGTTTTCCCATGGTTTTCCCATGGTTTTCCCATGGTTTTCCCATGGTTTTCCCATGGTTCCAGTCACCACCAAGCAGTTTTTCTCGTCGATCTACTCAGGTGAAGTGGCTCGGGCTGCTCCACAGAGCGCGTCAAAGAAATCTCCAGAGCGAGAGCGACGAAGCTTGCCGCAAGGGGTGTTATAGTGGTCTTAAGCTACATAGATAGAGATAGATAGAGATACATAGAGATACATAGAGATAGATAGAGATAGATAGAGATACATAGAGATAGATAGAGATAGATAGAGATAGATAGAGATAGATAGAGATAGATAGAGATAAATAGAGATAAATAGAGATCGATACAGATACATAGAGATCGATAGAGATACATAGAGATCGATAGAGATACATAGAGATAGATAGAGGAACTGTCAGCGCACGTGTAAGAGAACCAGTGAAAAAGCTGCACTCTGAGGGTGTCCCCTTCTGTATATATATATATATATACATTGTACATTTATATATATATATATACATATACAGTATCTGACAGGCATAAGAGGCTAAAGTTGTTAGCTCACATATGCTCCCCAACCCAAAATTGATCATGACCAGCCAGGTTCCAGCCCTCGGCGCCGCAGTCGCAGCAAACGCCGACGCTAGACGTCGATGCGAAGCAAAAACGAGAGAAATGGGTTGTTTGGGTTGTTTCTGGGAGATGATTCTGATAGATTTGGAACTTACTATATATCTATATCATATCTGGTAAAATATGGTTCGTCTGATATGTTTATCTTTAAAATATGGAATAGAATGAGATCTTTGGAAAATTCATTGGATGATTTTGGAGAAGACCCTGGAGAAATTTGCAAGGGTCGTCCAAAGTTTCCCAAAAAAAACATGTCATGGGGAAGTTCCCTCAAAATTCCGGAAGTTCGTCAGAGTCCGCAGGGAAAACCCGTAAGTTTTCGTCAGGAACTTCCCTAGCAGCGAAGAGTCGAGTGGAGATTCAGGGTTTCTTCTGCCATTTTTATGGAGAAATATTTTATCTGGAAAAATTATCCCCAAAAGAAAGTTGAAAATGCGGGGAATCATCCCCAAATGGCCGTGTGATATCAGCTATTTTCAGGTATTTTCAGGTGAGGGAATTATCATGAAATTCAGGCAGATTGCATTGAAGGAGTATCTGTTTAGTGATAGTTTGACATAGAGCCAGAGAAGTTCCCTATCAATTGATATCTTCGGCAATGCTCTGTTTGCTGTTGAGTTGATGGAAAAAAAAAGGATTGGGTTGGTCTTAACCCACCCCCCGAAAAAAACACGAGCATTTGGGGATTGTTTTTGTTACCCATTGATGAGTCGTTGGGGTTTATGGCATGGGGCGAAGCCCACATTTTCCCCTCCGATTTCTTGCTTGAAATGCGGGCTGGACTTGGCTGTGAGGCGGCGTACCCTGATGAAGAGCAGATTCAGATGGTGTTTATTGGTTGAATGCAAATTGAAAGTCAAAAAAGTGAAACCACTATACACATATAATATTATATGTGACTGCCCTGGAAGGGTCAGCCAACTGGTAGCCACCTGAGATATCCTTGCCTCAAGGATGATTGTTTCACCTGATTGTCAACCAATAGTTCCAGTGATCACACCAAAGCATCTAACAGTTGAAGCCCCTCCAACAGAGAAACACCGACGAATCCTGCCACGCCCTATGGCTGCACTTTTCCCCTGAAGTCACCTGCGGTTGGCCTTGAGCCAGATTTGATGGCACGAAGACAGCAATCATATGGCTGCTTCACTCCCCAACTGGCACAATCAAAGGAACATCGCCAATGGTTTCACACTGGCCTTCCTTGTTTATTCGATTGTGAACCTAACCAAGTTGTAACACCGTCCGCATGAACGTGGAGTCCGCAGGTTTGGCCAAGCAGTCGGCAATCGTAATGAAGAAGAGACCCACCTGCATGTTGTATGGTCACGAGACTGTTCCTTGAGAAGCATAACTTCTATAGTGGTCCTCCATTCCTGACAATTTGGCACTGCATTTCTGGTGATTAAATGGTATAGTGATTTACAGTCGGTTATCATCAAACCCTTGGGTTCCCTTTTTAAAGGTTTGGACAGTCAAAGTCAGGACTTTTGATGTAGCCCCACATGGTTCGGATCCATGTCAGTTTGTCCAAAGAGCTTGACATGGAGTATGCCTCAGTACTAAGGGTTGATCTCACCACTCTGTTGAGCAGACAGCTGCTTGGCTGACGCAAAACTGGCATCTCCGAAAGTCGCAAAGCATACCTCTTGCATTGGCAACGGTCGGGCAGTGACCGAAGTATCTGCAAAAGCGTGGGCTTCCCGCAAGACACGGTTACCTTCCAGCAAAGCTTCCACTGTGGCCGATGCAATACCCTTTTGCAAACATTACTTTTGTGTCCTGCATGCTTCTTTCCCCATGTCACTGATTTGCCTCCCCATGCCTCCAGTGTGGCGGCTGTCAGGGCAACTTGATGATTGTCGTTGATCTGTTGATGAGGAACTGCTGGACTGTTCATGTCTGCACTTCCAGTTGGCCGAGATCCACGGAGTGGAATGCCGGCCCAGTGTTGCTCGGAGCTGCTGCTTTGGAGGGAGTCGGAAAGTATTTGGGCCCTGAGACAAATGTTGGATCACTCCATGGACTGGCACTTCCATTTCTGCGGCCTCCAGTTCGGCGATTTCTTACGATTTTTAACCCATCGTCGCAGAGTTCACTGGGCTCGATGGCGTTGGTCCACTGGAATTGGACTGACTTTGCAGGAAGCGTTTCTGAATGATCTCCCCCAGCTCGGTGATCTTGGCTTTCTGGCTGCAAACTTCGGCCAAAAGATGATTGATTGGTGTCATGTCTGCCTCTGTCACACCCTCCTCGGGTTGCACTGCACGCGTCATCGTGAACAGCATGTAAAACAGATGAAACAGAATGCGAAGACTCTCGAGAACCTCTTCGGAGAGAATCCTCAGCGCATCCAGAACTTCCTGTCGATTCGGCATGATTCCCTTGAACGTCTAAATGAAGACCGGGCGGCACGAAATTTTGGATCTTGACACGGCAAAAGCTGCTTCATGTGGCTCAGCTGGCAAACGACACAAATCGGAGATATCAGTCACAAACAAACAATGGTTGTTTTCATTGAGTGGGAGTAAACGTCGAAGATTCTTGAAATAGCATGTGTTGTTTGAAAGGTATTTGCTCCAAGGCTTTTCATGGCTTTGATGGACAGGAGAAATTGAGTAGCTCTTGGGACAACTTCCACTGATAACCAAATTCGTTGACGACCATGAAGCAAAGGGATTTGTAATTGCTTGAAACTATACAACACTTGATTGTTACCAAAACGAAAACCGATATTGCTTGTCGGATGCTAGCAGGCAGTTTTCGCAGGACTGCCGGCACATGATCGCTTCCAATCACACTATGGCTGGCTCCGGTGGCTATGATCGCCATGCCAGTGGTTGGCACAGTTTTGGCGGCCATTTGGCTTGTGTTGCACTCTGCAACTTCACTGATGCTGGAAACCTTCGGCTCCTTGGCCAATGCCAACGACCTGGCAGCATCATGGGACACCACTGTGGAGTGGGGCTTGATCTGGTTCGGAGACTGCTGGACTTTATCCCCTTTACCCTGGTTATCCCCATTATTACCACTCTTTACATACTTATCGATACGACTGGACCAAAACTTTATGGCTTGATGCTGGACGGTGTCCCGGACGCTGGACGGATGTTCGGAGAACGCTGAAAAACACATTTCCTTTGACATCCACCTGGCCTCGAAGCCTCCTCAATGATCACCTGGCGCTGGTCATGAGGGCTAAGCTCCTCCACATGCACCACGTTCGCTTGTTCACGGGCTGCATCTCGCTTGTTTGGGCACTCTGCTTTCCAGTGCCCCAAGACCCGCACAGCTTACAGTGCGTGCGGCTGATGCGACCCAAAAGTTCTTCTTTGGCTCCCTTGCCGCCTCCTTTGCGACCACCACGGGAGGCAAACCTTTGCCACCAGACTTTGACGGCCAGAAACCTCTTGACCTTCGCCTTCGCCTGTCATTGATCCTTTGTCGCGCCTCCTGGTATGACACCAGCGCGCTTGTAAGTACAGAATCCTTTGCATCATCTCTTCAAATTCACTCTCAAACTGCTGCACAACGATGGACAAGTGAGTCAAGGGCCTCTGCTGTCAGCACATCGTCTTCTTCATGCGATACCTGATAGGTATTATATGTGGAGTAGCATCTTCCTCTGGAGGACCCTGAACGTCACTGGATTCCACACAGTTGGCTGGGTAAGCCTTCTTGCGGACATCACCCATTCCAAACAGCACTTTTGTTGACAGAGTTCTCATCGCTTTCTCAATCTTGGTCACTGAAAGAACACTATCCGTCATGGAAAGAATCATCATTTTGTCCTCATTGGACAAGCACGACTGCTTCAACAGCACGAATGCTTGCATTTCCTGAACTGTGACCTTAGGACCAAGGTCATTGAATGCCGCTTGAACCCCAGAGTGTAGCTATGCGTAGCCTCATCAGACTTTTGCGACGCACGATGCATGGCTTTGTCAAGCAGTTCATAGGTCTTGAGCTCGGATGTCTCCTCCCAAGACGACAGGGCCTGGATGAGATGTTCCACACCATGCTCGGCATCAATGAGTTTCTCAGGATCTAACATGCGGATTTGACTCCATGCAGTCCCTTTGCACAACATGGCTAGACGAGGGGCCAAGTTTGGCTTGTCTTTCTTCGGAAAGACTCCATGTAGAAAGCGAGCTTTCTGAATAAACTCTCTCACATCATCAGTGCTAGGGCTAGGATTGAAACTGGGCAATTGATTCCATAGTCCATTGGACTTGTCGTCGCCACCAGGGTGAACTTGACATCCCCAATGCTGAACCACAGCACCTGTCAGTCCAAGATACTGGCTTTGCACGCTGGTATGCGTAAGCCTTTCGGCTCCGCTACCAGTGTGACTGCCCGGGAAGGGTCAGCCAACTGGTGGCCACCTGAGATATCCTTGCCTCAAGGATGATCGCTTCACCTGATTGTCAACCAATAGTTCCAGTGATCACACCAAAGTATCTAACAGTTGAAGCCCCTCCAACAGAGAAACACCGACGAATCCTGCCACGCCCCTATGGCTGCACTTTTCCCCTGAAGTCACCTGCGGTTGGCTTTGAGCCACCTTTGATGGGTCGAAGACAGCAATCATATGGCTGCTTGACTTTGCAACTGGCACAGTCGAAGGAACATCGCCAATGGTTTCACAGTTATTTATTTATTTATTTATTTATATATATATATATATATATTTGCGTGTGTGTGTGTATATTGTGGATATAGTGTATGATAGTCGAGCGATATTCAGACATAGCCATAGGAATCTTTTAGCCTGGTCTTTCAAAAATGCCCAAATTGGTGCAAGATGTGGAAGATGCAGATATGGAGGAAATGCGGAGAAAGAGTTGGTGGAGAAACAGGGATGATGAATGAATGATCAATCATCAGATCTTCACCAGATATTCACCAGATATCCAATCCGATGAATCATCGAATGTCCGAGATATTCACCAGATATTCACCAGATATCCCCAGCAAATGGGGTCCAGAAGTATTCCCTGACATTTCCCCCATTAATGACCGACTCAGA